CGCTGTATCACAGCTCCTCAGTGTATCAATATATATATATATATATATATATATATATATATATATATATATACTATATATATATATATATATATATATATATATATATATATATATATATATATATATATATATATAAAGAAGAGGTTATAGTTGTTCCAACGCGAGAAAAGTGTATATAGTGAAGAAGAGAGGAACGCAAGAGTTTTTGGTTATAATATGTTTTTTAAATATGTATATTATAATTTATTTTCCATATTTTTGCTATACGTTTTTCGAGTCTCGCGACCTTTATAAACGCTTTGGTTGCCACTACACAAAAAAGACAATGCTTAAACATTGAAAAACATAAAGAAAATTAATTCCTTTTAATAATATGTTGAAATATCTACCCTTGGCCTGATGAAGGTCGGCAGACCGGAAACCCGTGTATCAAAAATATGGAAAATAAATTATAATATATATTTAAAAAAAATGTAACCAAATACGCTTGCGATTTCTCACTTTTTCTTAATATATATGGATATATATATATATATATTTCCGAAAATTTCGTTTTTGTTTTTATTCTTATTCCGATAATTTATTACTTTGAGAAATGTCTTTGAAACGTTCTTTTTGGAAACAATGTCGAAATTCTATTTGAGATATTTGAAGATAAAACTTTGGAAAATTCTTTTGATGTTGTTCAAACTTAAAGACTTCTGCATGACAAGCCTTGAAATGCCAGGCAGAAATCGGAATTGTTACATGAAGAAGATAAAAGAAAGAGATTAAATAGGAAGGAAATGAATGAGAAAATGAATGAATAAATGAATGATTGAATCAATGAATGAAGGGCGGGAAACAGCAGGAATGAAAGAACATAGGGAGAATAAAACAAATAAAAGGTAGATGAAGAATAAACCAAAAAAATGAAGGAAATGAATATAAATTAAAAGAATACAAAAAAAGAAAGAAAAGGATGAATGAATGAGTGGGGAAAAAAGAAGGAAAGGAATATGAAAAGAAAGAAAAAAACGAAAGGAAAAGAAAAAAGAAATGTGAAAAGAAAGAAAGAAAGAAAGAAAGAAAGAAAGAAAGAAAGAAAGGAAAAGAACAGTAAAGAACTGTGAAAAGAAATAAAGAAAGACAGAAAGGAAAAGAAAATAGACATGTGAAAAGAAAGAAAGAAAGAAAGAAAAAAAGAAAGAAAGAAAGAAAGAAAGGAAAAGAAAATAGAAAAGAAATGTGAAAAGAAAGAAAGAAAGAAAGGAAAAGAAAATAGAAAAGAAATGTGAAAAGAAAGAAAGAAAGAAAGAAAGGAAAAGAACAGTAAAGAACTGTGAAAAGAAATAAAGAAAGAAAGACAGAGAGGAAAAAAATAGACATGTGAAAAGTAAGAAAGAAATAAAGAACGAAAGAAAAAAAGAAAGAAAGAAAGAAAAAGAAAATAGAAAAGAAATGTGAAAAGAAAGAAAGAAAGAAAAAAGGAAAAGAAAATGGAAAAGATATGTGAAAAGTAACAAAGAAAGAAAGGAAAAGAAAATAGAAAAGAAATGTGAAAAGAAAGAAAGAAAGGAAGAAAGAAAGAAAGAAAGAAAGAAAGGAAAAGTAAATAGAAAAGAAATGTGAACAGAAAGAAAGAAAGAAAGAAAGAAAGAAAGAAAGAAAGGAAAAGTAAATAGAAAAGAACCGTGAAAAGAAATAAAGAAAGAAAGACAGAAAGGAAAAGAAAATAGAAAAGTGAGCGAAATAAAGGGTTCAGTTCGACATTCCAACCACCTGAAGAAGGCCGGAACGTACAACGACTGGAACATTGCAATAAATATAGCGACAAAGATGAGGATATTAGTCCTAATAATAGTGTACATAATAACGCATCTCAGAAATATAGACAGAAATTATTTTACAACAAAAATACATTGTAAATCTATTCGCCATAAACATTCATTGTTAATTATTTAAATACATGAATTAACTGGGAACTTCATTGCACATTATAACACTATATAAATATATTGAAAAGATTTAATGATGAATGGAAAATATGTTACAATCGGACTGTTTATTTTTTGTTACTTTAAGAATCCTTTGAAATTACGTAACTATAAAATCATTGGAAATTATTTTATTATAAAGTTCTTTGGAATATATTTGGCTATAATAATTAATTACTAGGAAACGGCTTCCTAAAATATTATATTTATATTATTTTACTGTAAAATAGATTTAAAATTATTTTAATATCATCTATAATATATATATATATAGTAATTTCTGTTTATGCGTTATTTATATAGATAGAAATATTGAAGTAAATGGTCTGTTTATAATAAACATTATTAACAACGTTTACCGACCTGAATGTCTAAGAAATTTTCATATATATATATATATATATATATATATATATATATATATATATATATACATACATACATACATACATATATATATATATATATATATATATATATATGATCGAAATAAAAGTATAAAATTTAATATTACAAGACATATTAAAACAATATTGAATAATAAAAAAAAACAAAAAACTCAACAACAAGGGGGTGGGGAAGCAACAGGTTTCGCTCCCGCTCTTCAGGCTTCCACGGGAGATTCAATATTAAAACAGAGAAATGTACAATGTGAATAGGTGGAAAAAAAAAAATTACACACATATATACATATATGTTTGTATATGCAAGAAGGTACTAGAGGCAGATATATATATATATATATATATACAGAGAGAGAGAGAGAGAGAGAAAGATAGATATAGATGTATATTTTAAGTGAAGTTCTGTTCATACGTTATTTTCATAGATATAAATATTTAAATAAATGCTCTGTTTATAATAAACAGTATTAACAACATTTATCGGCCTGAATGTCCGAGAAATTTCATTTTGAACAGCACATAGAACAAGTGAATAACTACTAAATATATTTTCATTTGTAATTATACTTTTAATAAATACGTGACTTTTGCTTCACCATATATATATATATATATATATATATATATGGGATGAGGCAAAAGTGACGCAACCTATGGATAATTTATTAAAATTATAATTACAAATGAAAATTTCTTTTACTAGATACAAATATTTAAGTAAATGCTCTGTTTATAATAAACAGTATTAACAACATTTATCGACCGGAATGTCCGAGAATTTTTCATAGAAATTATGTGTTCTTCGACAGCAATCGAACTTACACGAAAACATTATATAGCCTGACGTGCTATTCCAATTTAGCTACAGAGGAAGAGTATAGTTTGGAAAGTTAAATAACTGTAAATAAATAACAAATTTCCATGTTTTCACTCGAACACTCATATCTGATCGAAGCGTATCTTAACATAAACAAATGACAACATACATTATGAAATGGACTAACTCCGACACTTATGCTAATATATTTTCTGTTTATACGTTATTTTAATAGACAGATATGTTTAAGTGAATGCTCTGTTTATAATAAACAGTATTAACTACATTACTGGCCTGTATGTCCGAGAAATTTTCCCAGAAAATATGTCTTCAGACAGGAATTGAACCTGTATCCTACACGGAACCATCATATAGCCTGACGTGCTATACCAGTTTAGCTACAGAGGAGCGTCTGGTTAGTAATGTTGATTTTACTGCTTTTAAACTGGAAATATTCCATTATTTCACTCGAACGTTTATATCTGCTCGAAGCGTATCATAATGTAAACAAATGACATCGCACACTACAAAGTCCGACATTTATTTTAATATATTTTATTGTTATACGTTATTTATATAGGCAAAAATATTTAAGTAAATGCTCTGTTTATAATAAACAGTATTAACGACATTTAATCGGAGGACGCATATTTTCTATGAAAATTTCTCGGACATTCCGGTCGGTAAATGTCGTTAATATTGTTTATTATAAACAGAGCATTTTCTTAAATATTTTATCTATAAATATAACATATAAACAGAAGATAACTTAAAATAGTTGTCCATTTCGTAGAACATATATATATATATATATATATTTGGTTGGAGAGATGTGAGTTTTGGACCTGGGTTTCACGCTTTAGCGATCGTATGATCGCTAAAGCGTGAAACCCAGGGTCACAAACTCACATCTATCCAACCAAATATGCTAGCTCTATCTCTGATATTGAGCGCTTTCTAATAAGTACCGCGCATATAATATAGAAATAATTATACATATATATATTTATATACACTTTTCACACACACACATATATATATATATGCTGTGCGGGAGATATCATGGCATAAACGCGCATCTATCTATCTATCTTAATTTAGCTTTTGAAAATCATATGACTCTGGGTAATGGTTAACGAGCTACTCTGTTTCACTCTGAGTAGGAAGTTTTTGCTCCGTATTTGTGGCCTTGGATCAAACGAAGCAAAGCTAATTAGACGATTTTTGGTAATGTATGCGTATCGGCGGCGGTTTAGTGAGCAACTCGTTTTGATAATTAGCACTGAGTTCGATTCGCACCGGGTGACTCTTACTAATCTTCGTATAATACTACTACTACTGTACTGATGCTGCATTCACCCTGGGCGGATTGAGCCGGCTTCTTCGTGTTATGAGAAGATTCTTGGGATAAATTACAGAAGTAGTGTACCCAGGCCTACTCGGATAACGTTCTTGTTTGCCGCGGGGTTCCCACAGACGCAGAAACACCAGAAGCCGCCGGTTACCGATGCAGACGCTCCTTGGATTTTCACCAGAGCCCTTGTTAGCCGGCGTGTGTGTCAGACCTGTCCGCAGCAGGTGGCCTACCAGGAACGAAGTTCCGGCGGCATAACTCTGACACTACCGTTTACACCCCCCACCGAGGTAAGGGTTGGACTTTGGGGCTTACAGTACCAGGTGTTCCCAAGCGGTCCCCATCTAAGTACTGACCTGGCTCTACGATGCTTAACTTCGGCGATCGAACGAGAACCGGTGTTTCAGCGTGATTTAACCGTAAGCCACGATCTTCGTATAATCACAATGCATAATAAATTTTTTGCGTCTCAAATCATTATTATTGGTCAAATCACCGAAGGTCCCTTATTATTGGTCAAATCACCGAAGGTCCCTTATTATTGGTCCCTTGGGAATACCACGTTCTGTAAGCTCGCATCTGCCTGTCGGTTAATAACGGTTCGGTATAAGAAATCTGTGAACCGGGTTCAAATTCAAGTCAGATTCGTTACATTCCCTTATACTTAATCTTGGGAGATGTATTGATCCACCCCACCCTTCACTTTGTTTTAAATAGTACGGCTTGTATATGAAAATCATTATTAACTCTTAATATTATTAATAAAGTAAGTGAATTACTCGCATTTGCTGTGTGTCCCACATTTTTTTGTAAGAAAATGATGATTCATTGTTATAATTTGTGCCGAAAAATGATGCATTTCAATATTACTTAATGATCTTGCCGATGTGACCTCCATCTTCTGGATTTCTCCTTCTATATTTTGAATAGGACTCATTTTCTTGTTCAAATTTAAATTAAATTTAAATCAAATGAAATAAAAAAAAATTCCGTGGGCGTTTTGTGAAAAAAAAAAGAGTTTGATCTGACCCCTTTGATATGTATTTGTTGCAATACTTGATTGAATGAATTGATGAGCAGATTTCAACATTGATATGACAGTTGAATTGTCACTAAAATATGTATTGTAAGGCACTATCCACTGATTTCTGATTTCCTGCTCAACTTGACGTCCATGTTGTCTCACTTTGATCTTACCGATGTGAGCTCCATCTTCTGGCTTTCTTCTTTTATATTTTTCGAATTTGTTCAAATTTAAATTTAATTATTAACAAAGGGAAAAAAAATTCCCTGAGGAGGTGTGCACCCCGGGGACCCCTTTGATCAAAAGGAAATATCCTTATCCAAGTACCCCGGGTAATGTTGTTTCAGAATATATATGATTATGGGGGTCTATCCTCAAAACTCTAGGAGTTAATTAACAAACAGACAGACAGAGGCTACAACTTTTTATATATAGATTGCTTATGAATTATTCACTCAGTAAAAACGAATTATTCTTAGAACCCGAAAAATGTTTTCGTTTTAAATAACCTAAATATACCGTAAAAAACAAATCGATCAGTATCTGTCTATATTTCTGAAATGAGGTATTGTAATTATTAATACTCCATGCCATATGGCCGAGTGAATAAAATCGTTGGTTGAATCCATTGACTTGACGCAAAGAGTTGTGAGTTCAATACCTGGCCACCAGCTGAGGTGAACAAAAACTTGCAGTGGCGAATTAAAGGGAGTGAACTGGTACGGAGACATCTGGAAGAGGCATGGCACGTGGAACTAGAACAATCTACCTCGGTGAATGAAATAAATAGTTCCGTTTGAAATTCTAATCACCCTAAGAAGGCCGGAGCGTACAGCAGCCGAAAAGTTGTGAATATGGCAACAAAGATGTGGACAACTGTCGGAACAGTGTAAATAATTACAATACCTCATCCCAGAAATATAGCCAGATCCTGAAGAGGGTCGGAGCGTATAACGGCCGAAATGCCGTGAATATGGCAACAAAGAGGTGGACAACAATCCTAACACTCTAAATAGTGTAAATAAATCGGCCAACTTTAGGTCGAAGAAACGTGGCCTCCAGATGTAATCCTCTACATCGAGTGGCCCCCGGGCCTTGTAAAGGGTGAACCTTGTAGTAAAAAAACTGCATTTATATACGTTATATTTAAGCCCCCCCCCGCCCCACGTTGGTCGTATGTGGCACAAGTCGGAGTTTATCGTGGGTTCTCCGAGCTCGTAGGCTCGGCCAAAAATATCCCCTTCAAACCTGTATAAACGGGTTTAGGGTCTGTCTACCTCTCCGGACGAAACTTTGCCCTTCGGCAAAGCCTCGCCCGGGTTCCTCTCTGCCGAAGCAGAGAGTTTGACAACCGAACGGGTAATGGCACCGTTCCCTGCATTTATATACGTTGCAAATTAAACTAAGCACAACTGACTATTAAAGGATGAAAAATTCTTACAAATTTTGACGCCATTCTCGGACCCTTTTTTTTTTTTTTTTCGTCCAAGTCCGTGAATTTCTTTTGCTCATGCTAAGACTAGGAAAAAAAAAACAAAAAAAAAACACAATATAAAATTCCGTATTTTTTATCCATAATATTGAATGTGTTAAAATTATTCAACATTTTAATAACTAAAACCTCAAGTTGATGTTAAAAATTACCGCAAAACAATGTTGATTTATTTAAGATGGAGTGATCTATTATGACATGTCTCTAATTTGTATTTAGATACATTGTATGTATTTTCAATTCTTCTAGTTGAATTGTTCACCTATATTGCATACGATGTATTATTGTACATAATTAGGTTAGAATAAAATTTGTATTTTATATGAATATTAGCTTATGAAAATTGAGACGTAGTAGTGTGGGGGCCCCCGTATCATAGATCGATGGGGGCATGAGACCCTTGCTTCGGACTTGTATATACATAATATGTTTGACTATGTTAGTCTCGAAAAAACACTATATAAAATTCACCCTTTTTTATCCATAATGTTCAATGGGTTAAAAGTATTCAACTTTTTAACAAGAAAAATCTCAATTTGATGGTAAAAATACCCGCAAAATATTGTTGATTTATTTAAGATGGAATGGTCTCTAATTTGTATTTAGATGCATTGTATTTATTTTTAATTTTTCTAGTTGAATTGTTCACTTAATATTGCACATGATCCATTATTGTACATAATTAGGTAGCAATATTTTTTTTTATATGAATACTACCTTAAGGATATTGAGGTATAGCAGAAAGGCGGTGAAATAAAGTACATGTGTGTGTGTGTGTGTGTGTGTGTGTGTGTGTGTGTGTGTGTGTGTGTGTGTGTGTGAATAAAGATCAAAGGAAAATGCTTAACTTATCTGATGCTAATGCAAATGCAAGGATTTTATTTGTAACAATTATTTATATACAAAACAAAAATGTCATTGGTTTTTCAAGATTTTTAGATTTAAGAAACGCTCATTAATATTCATCAGGTTTTTTTGAAATCTCAAGGCAAACTATGGAGGAAGCAAATTGACACAATTCAATATCTAATAAATGAAAGTGAGTAAGGGATGTTCTTGAAATTTTTTATGCAAATTAGTAATTAAAGTTGGTGTAAAACATTGTTTATTTATTTAAGATGGAATCATCTATTATGACATGACTCTCATTTGTATTTAGATAGATGATATTAGTTTTCAATATTTCTAGTTGAATCGCTCACATCTATTACATATGATCCATTATTTTACATAATTAAGTTACAATAAAATTTTTATTTTATATGAATACTACCTTATAAAAACTTAGATGCAATAGTGTGGGTGCGTGTGATAGATTGAGGGGTATCATAGATCGGGAGTGGTATCTACGAGACCCTTGCATCGGCCTTGTTTACATTAACGATATGATTAAATACATAGACGTTCAAGTTGAGCAAGTTAGGGAAATTTAACGATCTGTGTCTTAATGATCTGTGTTTTAATTGTGGACGGAAAATGTGACACTGAGACACGGAGGCGCATTGGAATAATAAAAGATGCCATACAGAAGCTAAATATTAGAAAAAAAATTTAAAAAAATCATTGCAAACGTTCTATCACTGAAGATGTTAGGAAAAATGTTCAAGGACACATGGCACAGTGGATAAAAGCGTTAGTTAGATCCAGTGACAGGACCCAAAGAGTGTGAGTTCAATACCCGGTTAAGGCAGTGGAGAACTTGGAGTTGGGAATTAACAGGAGATAAATGGCATCCATTAGACATGGCACATGGAACTAGAACTGTCTATTCCATTGAGCGAAATAAAGGGTTCAGTTCCACCTGAAGAAGGCCGTACAACGTTGTAATAAATATGGCAACAAAGATGAGGACAATAATCCGAATAATGTAAATCGTGTCTAATTTGTATTTAGATACATTGTTATTATTCTCAATTCTTCTAGTTGAATTGCTCACATCACTTACATATAATCCATTATTGTACATAATTAAGTTACAATAAAGTTTGTATTTTATAGGAATACTACCTTATAAAAATTGAGATGGCGTAGCTTGATTCCCCCTATCACAGAGTTTAAAGTAATCCTGTCTTTTTTCTTTTTTTTTTCAAATCCATGAATTTGTTTTTTCTCATGTTAAGTCTCGAAAAAATTCTGTATAAAATTCACTTTTTTTATCCATAATGTCGAATCTGTCAAAATTATTCAAATTTTTATTAAGAAAAAGCTCAAGTGGATGCTAAAAATTACCGCAAAACATTGTTGATTTATTTAAGATGGAATCATCTATTATGACATGTCTCTAATTTGTATTTAGATACATTGAATTTATTTTCAATTTTTCTAGTTCAATTGTGATATGATCCATTATTGTACATAATTAGGTTATAATAAAATATTTATTTTATATGAATACCACTTTAAGGATATTGAGATGTAGCAGAATAGCGGTGGTGGGAGGCTGCTAGATGCTTTCACCAGCCTTGCATCTAGCCATTTTAACTGTAAAAACGATGAGAACTGACCCCTCCAATCTCAACCGGGCTTAAATTAATAAATTCTAGTTAGGATAGAGAAAAATTCATGAAAATATTGTAATGAAAGTATTTACAGAAAAGGCACAGGGAGGCTACATTATAGCAATGGGAAAAAAACTGAAGTCGAGATGCCAGGTTAAGACGAATGATACTGCAAATTCCTCTCTGGATTTTATCAAGGATCTCTAAATATAACTGTTCCTGATTATGAGAAACGGCCAGTGCTTTGTGACTCTCACTATCTTATCAACATTTGATTTTTTTTTTCTATCTGCTTTTATAAACGCTACAAATTAAATTAAGCACAACTGACAATTAAAAGATGAAAAATTTTCATGAATTTTGACTTCATTCTGGGGTCTTTTTTTTTTTTCCAAATCCGGGAATTTGTTTTTTTTCTCATGTTAAGTCTCGAAAAAATTCTATATAAAATTCATTATTTTTTATCCATAATGTTGAATGTGTCAAAATTATTCAAATTTTTTATTAAGAAACACGTGTATTGCATAAGATCCCTTATTGCACATAAGTAAGTTGCAATAAAATATATATTTTATATAATCCCTTGATTAATTCGCATTCGAGTAATGCGTTTCAATTAGGGCGCTAATTTTTTTTATATACCAATATTCGATTAGAGCGGAAAAAATCTTTCTTCAGTTTAAACATAGTTATTGAAAATTGATGTTTTTATAGTGATGAATTAATTAATAATTTTCTAAAATTTAAAAATGGAAAATGAGTAAGTATTTTGTTTGTCAAGTTTTTAAAAAATCGGATGGTTATTAATAGATAAATTTTAAAATATAATCTGATAATAAAAAATACATATTTGAATATTTGTTTCTATTAAAATTTTCTGAATATTCTGATTTTATTTTCATGTTTATTTTGAAGGTCTTAAAATAAAATTTCTGATTGCTGTTAAGAAAAAAAATAATCGATTTAATTAGATACAGAAATTTACATTACGAAAAGATATCGAAATACAAAACTTGTATGCATTTACTATAGAAAGATTATGAATAAAATTTGACATATATATATATATATATACATATATCCAATTTTCGAATAAATTTATATATATATATATATATATATATATATATATATATAGATGTATGTATCTATCAATCGATTAATGCGCATTCGATAAATGCGTTTTCAATTAGTGTGTTAAAATTTTTATATAACAAAATTTGGTATATATGTATATATATATATATATATTATATTTATACAATTTTCGAATAAATTATATATATATATATATATATATACAATTTTCGAATAAATTACATATATATATATATATATATATATATATATATATATATATATATATATATACATGCGCATTCAATAAATGCGTTTCAATTAGTCCGTTAAAATTTGTTAAATACCAAAATCTGATTAGTGCCTACATAATACTCGATTAGTGCGGTAAAACATTCTTCAGTTTAACGATAGTAATTAAAAGCTAATTTCTTTATACTTACCGAGGTACTCATTAAGCACACTAATTGTGGGATTTCTGTACTGCCTTACGAAAATTGTGATGTAGTAGAGAGGTGGGTCCCGTATCACTGACTGGATTGGGGGCAGGGGATCTTTTCACTTGTCTTGTATATCTGTCAACAAATTCTTTACCTAGCATTTAAAATGAAAAAAAGAAACAAACTGTTTCCTTTATTTATGAAACCATAACGTTCAAAATTTTTGCACAAAACATCTCGCCATTTTGTTTTCATTTTAAGGTATGGCCGGTTTAATTCTCTGACATAGTGTAAATAAAAAAAAATCCTATGCTGTTTACTTCTGTTTCTTTTAAGGTTTCATGAATACAAAATATTTATTTTACTTCTTTACATTTTACTTCCCGTTTCCGTTTTCAGCCGGCCACTTCGACCCGCATCAGCTCTTACCTGCCATTGTCTAATTAATGGCGCCATATTGGCGAACTTGTTAAGGATTCCAGGTGGCGCTCCCGAAGCTGTTTGCGATAAGATTTTGGCGCATGCGCAGTTTGCGGCCAGTCAGTTACCGCTTCATGTCCGGTGGCAAATTGATCGAACCGTCGATGATGGCGCCCCCTTCACAACAGCTCCTGCTACCACACCCTTGTTTTCTCTGATATCTCCACCACCCCCGCGAGCATCATCCATCCTCCCCTCTGATATTTTCAGCTCATCTCACTTTTATTTCTTTCGCCGATCACGTAAACCCCCACCCCCCCGCCACACACCCACCGACCTGTATATTAGGAAGAAGGCAGACGCCGAGTCGCGAACGCTTTTCTGTGAATCTTACGCCACGTTGCCAGTTGATTTTCCGTCGACGCCTCATTTTTCCATCGCTAAAAACTAATGCATACATTTGACCTGAAGCGACCCAAGGGATTATATATTGTATGATGTATGCAGAGGAATTGATTTAGGGAGAGGAGAGAAGAGGAATATGAGAATATGAAAGGGAGGGAAAGAAAAAAAGAGTGAGATAAGAATGAAACACACACACACACAAACGAAAGAATGACAATAAAATAGAAGAAAAAAAGACAAAGGAATTGCAAAACATCAAGAAAAAAAGAAAAAAATATAAAAAGTAACGGAAAGAAAATTCCCCGTGAAAAATCGAAAAGAAAGATATTTATTACGTCTTGCTAGTCTGACACAAGGGCATGACACGAGAGTAGCTTTAAAATTAACAATCCCTTGAGATGAACTTGAAGACTATCACCTTACTGCTCTTCATTGATATTCCCAAATATTTCTAAGTCTGGCACATTTCTAAGAAATTAAATTAACTTAAAATAATTGTTGGAGATACAGCCGTTTAATGTGTACTTGAGTGGAGACGAAATTCGTACTCTTTAAAGCGTCTACTTAAATATAGGTATCCGCGGCCTTCTTCAGGTGAATGGAATTTCGAACCGAACCCTTTATTTCGTCCACCGGCGTATACCGTTCTAGTTTCACGTGCCATGCCTCTTCCAGATGTCTCGGTTATTTCCCTTTAACTCAACTCTCCAAGTTTTGTTCACCACTGCTGTGGTCTGGTATTGAACTCAGAACTTTGGGTCTAGTCACTGGATCTTACCAATATCTTTATCCACTGGGTCATCTGTCCTTGAAGAAATTCCAATCACCCAAAGAAGGTGCGTATTGAATATGACAATGAAGATGAGGAGAACATTCCGAATCAATTTCTACATTATTCGGAATGTTATCCTCATTTTCTTTGCCATATTCACAACGTTTCGGCTGTGGTAAGCTCCAACCTTCTTCAGCTGATTAAGGTGATTTTTTTTTTAAATAATTGAGCGCTAACCAAATAGGGATATCCACGGAAAATAACTTTTGAATTAATAAAAAAAAAAAATACACGTGGCAGTAGGTGAGCAATGGTTGGGTTTATACTGGAACATCTAGGTAAAAATTGTTTGGCTGAATACCTGAGATTCTTGGGTGTCTCGTAATGGTTAAAGATTCATGTTAATCATCAATTTCCTGCTGGTGTGTGCTGTTTTGCCACCAGTGCGGTTATTTAAGAAGTGTGGCGAAAATGTTAAGACGTTCACAAAAAAAACGGACTTGGAATTTTCAAGAGAAGCGAAATCATCATTGCCAAAAGAAATCAAAATCAATATTTTCAGACGTAACTAATTCAAAATCTAGTATTTCTTTTCTGAGATAAATAATGGTCATTATTCTTGTATAATATTTCGAACTATTTCCTCATTTTGTTTGAACATTTCGATCAACTATGGTCTGGTCATCATCAGATGTCTATTGATTGCCTGTTGATTATTGAGTACTAGAAGACAATAACACATTTATGACAATTTACTATATCCACGAGGCTACTGCTTCTCAAATTATCTGATATGGCCGACCGGGATTTTTTATTTCACAAACTTGTAATATTTCGTGGTAATATTAATTTATACTGGAAATGATATATATATATATATATATATATATATATATATATATATATATATATATATATATATATATATATAAAGAAAGAAGAGTAAGATGCATAATCCGGTGTTCTTATAGATATTTTTATTTTTACAAAATATTGCTCAGTGTAAATTTGCAGAGCATTAATATTATAAATTAATTGATTTAAAATATGTTTTTTTTCGATACACATTTCTGACCATTTTTGAAACATGGATAGAACTGTGTAGCGAAAAAACATATTTTAAATCAATTAATTATATATATATATATATATATATATATATTTATGGAATAAAAATGACAATAGGAAAACTGGTAATTGCTGACGCGTTTCGTCCAATGTGGACTTTATCAAAGCAAAATACGAAAATGAAATTAAATGAACAAAGTAACTAATAAAAACAAAAACAGAATGTACCTAGCAACTGGAATGTAGAGAAACGCTATTTTCATATTTTTTAAACTGAAAAATAACGACGTGATTGTCACGTGTGGAGAATATTGTCATTATATCTGTGTTGATGCATTCAACCATTTTCTTTTGATTTTATGAATCTGTTGTGCATATTTGTTTGTAAGAGCATTAATTTTGTTAAGAAAGGGGAAATAGCGAAAAGCCTGGGCGTAGATTGATATTTTGGTAATATTCTATGGTGGCACTCTCCAGAATTTTCCTTATGAGTGAGTTATTTCTTTTATTATGAGTTTAGCATTTTTAAAATCAAAATTATGGTTGAATTTATTTCTATGCATGACTATTGCGTTAGCTAAGTTGTTTTTTGTGAGGTCTCTTTTGTGCTCATAAATGCGTTTTTTCAAACATCTACTTGTTTCTCTAATATATTGGGAGGAACAGTTTTGGCAATTTATTTTATAAATGCCTGCTTCAGAAATATTATTGCTTTTATTGTTTAAAGATCTTAGTATATCCATAATGGTTTTGGAAGTGTTTGTGACTATTTGAATATTATTTAGATGGGATAGGTTATTCTGGATAGTGGACGTGACAGAATTGGCCGGTAGTATTATGTATCTGTTTTCATGTGATTTACTATTGCGGATTATGTTATTAGTTTTGTTTCGTTTATATATTTTGTATGCCTTTCTTCTTGCATTGTTGATGAAATGATATGGGTATTGAAAAAGACGATGGACATAAAAGCAAAACCAATCCAAACAGATAACTGAAATCTTTTATAAGATCAGCGTTCCGTTTAAATATGATCACGTCGTCGTCACGTGGGCGATGTTGTGAAAACGTTGTCTTTTTCATGTTGAATTGTATATGGTCTATGTTAATTATGTTTTATGAATATGTCCTGAAGATGGTCTATTAGACTGAAACGTCCGACGTTGACATTAAACATTAAAACAGCATAATCGCATATTAGGATTTTTGTTTGTTTTTTCAATATATTTTTCTTCATACTGTCGGATCTATATCCATATATTTGCTTACCTATATATATATGTGTGTGTGTGTATGTATGTATGTATGTATATATATATATATATATATATATATATATATATATATATATATATATATATATATATATATAATGGACTTTCTCCGACAGTTTCACCTAGTTTTTACGTTTGTGTCGTATCTGGCACTTAAGTTCAGCTAGTGTCCTCCATACAATTCCACATATTGCTCAGCATCGGGGATCTCGTGACAGAGCAACAGGATCATTTGTTGATGCTTTTCGCTTTCATTTTTTGTCTCTTACCCGCTCAAAACGACTGATTTCAAAATTTCTTATATAACTTTGGGAGTTGTATATCTAGTTATTTCTGCCCCGGCCAAATCGCTCGAACTTAGTATGAGGGATATTGACAACTGAGTGGTTACTCTTTAACTTGTCTTTATACCTGAGTCACGGCCGTCCAACTGTGCTTTGTCCACTGTGAAGCTGGCTATACATGAAGAACTTAGGTATTCTGTTGTCACTCATCCTTGCTACATGAATATCTCATCGAAGTTATGACTTCATCAGGAAGGTTTCAATGATACCAATGTTGCATATATATGGGGTCCTTGATTTTGAGCCATAGTGTGATATATATTGAATCAATTGTTAGTTCTACTGATAGGAAAATTGGTTGACTGGGTTGTGCTAGACAATTTTGTCGATAAAATCTATCTTATATATTTATAAGTCTACCATCCGCCAAGACCGACTTTGCATTTCCCAACTCCCATCGATAGTGGAAATAATCGATTTTTCATGCTTCTACGGCAGTTTTCATGTAGTTTGCGGCCATTTTGTAATGGCCAGAGTGAGAACCTATAGCTGGCTGCCACAATGGAGCAGAAAATATGCGAATTAGTAGGCATACTCATCCTATCATACCTGGCCAGAATCCTGGAGAGAAAGGACACAGGATTATACAGAGATGACGGTCTTTTCTTAATAAGGGAATCCAATGGCCCCAAAGTAGACAAATTCAGGAAGAAAATAGTGAACGCCCTAAAAAACATTGGATTCATAATAGAGATAAATACAGGCACAACTATAGTAAACTTCCTTGACGTCACTCTTAACCTGATCAACAACACATATGAACCATACAAAAAGAAAATGACACACCAACTTACGTACACATCCTCCAACCATCCACCTTCTATCATCAAACAAATACCAAAGTCAATCAGCCGCAGACTATCTGAGAACTCATCTAACATGCAAATTTTCAATAGCAAAATAGCACCATACAACGAAGCACTAAAAGCAAGTGGTTACACACAACAACTACAATATATACCTCCACAGCCAAAACGCAGAAACAGAAAGAGAAACATTATCTGGTTTAACCCACCATATAACAAAACTGTTAAAACGAACATAGGCAAAATATTCCTAAACTTAATAGAAAAACACTTCACTGAAGAAAACAAATTATCAAAAATATTTAACAAAAATAACGTAAAGATCAGTTACAGCTGTACAAAAAACATAACAGATATAATCAAAAACCACAACAAAAAAAAATGACAACCTACAAAAATGTAACCAAGGATCCTATATGCAACTGCAGAAACAGAGCAACATGTCCACTCCAGGAAATTGCCAAATTACGAACACAATATACAAGGCCAAGGTAAGTACAAACAACAACACTATGCACTACATCGGTGCCACAGAAGGTCCATTCAAGATGAGGAATAACAATCACAACCTTTCATTCAACAACAGGAAATATTCGAACAGCACAACACTTTCTACATACATATGGCAGCAAAAGACAAAACATCACACCAACAATAAGTTGGGAAATATTGAAAAAAAAGCCCCCTGCCTACAACAACATTACGAAAAATGCCTACTTTGCCTACACGAAAAAGTAGCAATAATATCACACAAACCGCAAAAAGAACTTGCTAAACAAAAAATCAGAGATAATCTCCAAATGTAGGCATGAGAACAAGTATCTATTATCCGAATTCATACCAAACGGATAAAACAGACAAACCACCAACAATCACAATTTAATTTCAAGATACCATCAAAATAATTGCACCTATCATTATTATAATTGCACCACCATTAGTAATCACTTTTACCACCTTACAATATCTATTAACTATCAATATTATCATTACCACCTACACACAGCACCATCACTTACACATCACACCCACTATTAACATATAATCCACTACAATCTTTATTACCCCCCCTGCATATTTAATACTTTAAAACAATATGATCAGATATAATTTCCATATGTAACCATGAGAACAAACACCTATTACCAGGCAGCTTTAATATAATAATAATAATTTTGTAATTAAAAATTATAGCAATCTTCAACTACCATAATTTTACATAGAATACCTATTATCAGGATTTATACCAAAATAAATTAATACATATAACAAAATAAAACAAAATAAAACACCAACAACCACTTTTTAGTTCAAGCTACCACCACTATAACTACATTCATGGTTTTATCATTCTCCCACCACCGTTACTAATCATTTCTACCAATCTGCAATTTCTTCCAGTTTACAATAACTATTAGCTAAAACCTAAATAGCATTGTCTCCAATCCTTTGAAACATTACTATCACATCATATCATATAAACCCGTTATTAAATTAAACATCACCATATAAATTAAACAATAAGGATTAAAATTTTTTACCTGTTACATATACACAGTCACCAAAAACAAACAAATAACCAGCTTTAAATATAACAAATAAACCCCCATTTTTTTCAAAAATTTAAAAATAAATATAAATAATTTAATAATAATTTTTACCTATCATAATTTTACACAAACCCCACCACACATATATACATACATGCGAGAAAATATTTTTCAAATATTTTTCAACGGAAAAAAAAAAAAAAAAAAAAATTTCATAATATGACATGGATACATTCACGAGACAATAACGAGACATTTCCGCCACACTTCCAATGTTTAAATTTCAACATTTCAACATACAAATGCGTATGTATAGACATAACACCACCCGTATACATACATGTGTCATAGCCGAAACTGTCTACATATATTTATATATATGTATGAGTCCCGACGGACGACCAAGTATGTATATGTATATGTGTCTGCATACATCGATGTTTGCGTTAGTACGATGAATGACAAAACGACGAAATCTCCCCCACCACTTCCACAATAACACCAATACACGCAATCTACATAAACCCAAATTTTTTAAAACATTAATCAGTTTGTCTGACGATCGCTAAAGCGTGAAACCCAGGGTCACAAACTCACATCTATCCAACCAAATATGTTAGCTCTATCTCTGATATTGAGCGCTTAATAATAAGTACTATATATATAATATATAAATAATTATACATATATATATATTTATTTATATTTATATTCACTTTTCACATATATATATATATATATATATATATACTAAACAAAGAAAGAATAGTAAGATATATAATCCGATGTTCGTATTGATATTTTTTTTATTTTTACAAAACAGTACTCAATATAAATTTACAGAGCACAAATATTATAAATTAACTGGTTTAAAAATATAGTTTCATCACTACACGGGAATTACCATGTTTCAAAAACAGAAGCTAAAAATTTCAAATTCAATTATATACTTAAATTCAAACTCAAAAGCATTAGTTCTCGCGTGAAGATGAAACAGAACTAATGCTTTTGATTTAATTATATAATTGAATTTGAAGATTTTAGTTTCTGTTTTTGAAACATGGTAATTCCTGTGTAGCGATGAAACCATATATTTTCAAATTAGTTATATATATATATATATATATATATATATATATATATATATATATAGAGAGAGAGAGAGAGAGAGAGAGATAGATAGATACACCTAGTGAGCCAGAAAAACCTACCTAAGTTTCACCTAAACGATCCGTATCTAGGTCTGCTCTACGGTTGTATTGAGCTCTTTTGTTAGTTAGTTGTTATTCGTATCGGGGCTTTTTTTTTTTGGGCTTCAGACCTGCATCTGTGCGACTTTTTTGTCGGCAGAAGTTCATGTTTGTAGCTCTTTCTTTTTTTAAACCTTTTTTTTCCCTCGAGATTGATTTGATTAGCAAATCAAAAATTCGTGGGTTTTTCGAAACGCGTCTAGTTATATATATATATATATATATATATATATATATATATATATATATATACGATTGCTTCACACCGGGATCTAAACTCGAATGATTCGGCAACAGTCGGAGGTTTTCACACTGAAGCGAATTTTTATGCACTTATTCTGGGAATAAACACGCCAGTGACTGAGAGATCTCAATTCAGGGAAGGGGAAGAGACTTGCAATGTTAGTAGTAATAGTCATTGTTTACAAATTCGCACATCCAAGAGTGTACAACCGAATTAAAATTTTTCGGCTGCGAATACATTGTCATCCACACGTTTGAAAGAAAGGCGAATGTTTACGTACTTATTCTCTGAATAAACGCGCGAGCGCGCGCGCGCACACACACACACACACACACACACACAGACACACACATCTATATATATATATATAAAGAAAGAACAGTAAGATATATAATCCGGTGTTCTAATAGATATTTTTATTTTTACAAAATAGGGCTCAATGTAAATTTACAGAGCATTAATTTTATAGATTAACTGATTTAAAATATTTTTCGCTACACAGATTTAACCACGTTTCAAAAATGGACGCTAAAAGCTTCGAATTAAATTTTGTAATTAAATTAAAGACATTAGTTCCATTTCATCCTGAAGCAAATTTTGGAGTTACTATATATATATATATATATATATATATATATATATGTTTGACACTCCCGTCTTATTCGATGTATGAGGGTCAAGCAGCTCAGTTCCCAGGAACCGACAGCCCAAAGACGAGCACAAATGATTTGATCATAGTGGTGAAGGTTTCGTGCAGGACCATCTACACTTTTTGAAGGGCCGATTACAGAAACCTGACGCACTACGTGCCACAAGGTCCCCAAAAGACCCTCTGCAGTTTTTGAATTCAGAGTTTTTCTTCTCCTAGACCAGTTGCCATCCAAAGCTGTAGAAACAAGTTTGTCCTGCTATTTTACCCATAGCTGGAGGGAGAAGAAGAGGAACAATATCTTTCCTAGGTGTATTAGCTTCTATGTGAATGTAATCGATTCAACTAGAATTCGAACTCTCTCTCTCTCTCTCTCTGCGATTCCTCAATCTGAGCCGCATTATATATATATATATATATATATATATACATATATATATATATATATATATATATATATATATATGTGTGTGTGTGTGTGTGTGTGTGTGTGTGTGTGTGTGTGTGTGTGTGTGTGTGTCCACATTTTTCTGATCTTTAATAACTGCCCGCGGTAATTTTAGTGACAGGGTGGTTCTTGTTAGGCATCACTTCAATCTTACGAAGACCTGTGGCAGGGACCGTACCGCGCTGTTTAATCTCCGCTGGGAAATCAACTTTTAACACTTTTCTGATACTTGGCCTTAGGAGCACATTTAGACCGAACCTATGTCAATAAGTACAGCTGTCCAAGACTATTGTGTTCCTTTGCCCTCTACCTACTCTCTTCAACATCCTTTCTCGTTTTCTCTGTTTTCCCACTCGGTTTTCCCGCTCTGTTTTCCCTTTCAATCTTCCCTCACCCTTTTCCCGCTCTGATTTCCCTCTCTATCTTCCCTCTCCCTTTCCCTCTCCGTTTTCCCTCACTGTTTCCCTTTCCGTTTTCCCTCTTCGTTTTCTCTCTCTATCTTCCCTTTCTGTTTTCCCTCTCTATCTTCCCTCTCCGTTTTCCCTCTCCGTTTTCCCTTTCTTTTTTCCCTCTCTATCTTCCCTCTCCGTTTTCCCTCTCTTTTTTCCCTCTCTATCTTCCCTCTCCGTTTTCCCTCTCCGTTTTCCCTCTCTTTTTCCCTCTCATCTTCCCTCTCCGTTTTCCCTCTTTTTTTCTCTCTCATCTTCCCTCCGTTTTCCCTCTCTTTTCCCCTCTCCATCTCCCCTCTCCGTTTTCCCTCTCTTTTTTCCCTCTCTATCTTCCCTCTCCGTTTTCCCTCTCCGTTTTCCCTCTCTTTTTTCCCTCTCTATCTTCTCTCTCCGTTTTCCCTCTCTTTTTTCCCTCTCTATCTTCCCTCTCCCTTTTCCCTCTCTGTTTTCCATCTCTATCTTCATTCTCCGTTTTCCCTCTCCGTTTTCCCTCTCTATCTTCCCTCTCTATCTTCCCTCTCCCTTTTCCCTCTCCCTTTTCCCTCTCTGTTTTCCCGCTCTGATTTCCTTCTTTGTTTTCCCTCTCCGTTTTCCCTCTCTGTTTTCCCTCTCCCTTTTCCCTCTCCGTTTTCCCGCTCTGATTTCCCTGTCTATCTTCCCTCTCTTTTTTCCCCTCTCCGTTTTCCCTCTCCCTTTTCCCTCTCCCTTTTCCCTCTCCCTTTTCCCTCTCTATCTTCCCTCTCCGTTTTCCCTCTCTGTTTTCCAGCTCTGATTTCCCTCTTTGTTTTCCCTATCTATTTTCCCTTTCAGTTTTCTCTCTCTGTTTTCCCTCTCCCTTTTCCCTCTTCGTTTTCCCTCTCTATCTTCCCTCTCCCTTTTCCCTCTCCGTTTTCCCTCTCTATCTTCCCTCTGTATCTTCCCTCTCCGTTTTCCCGCTCTGATTTCCCTCTCCGTTTTCCCTCTCTCTTTTCCCTCTCCGTTTTCCCTCTCTTTTTTCCCTCTCTGTTTTCCATCTCTATCTTCACTTTCTCTTTTCCCCTCTCCCTTTTCCCTCTGCGTTTTCCCTCTCTGTTTTCCCTCTCCATCTTCCCTCTCCCTTTTCTCTCTGCGTTTTCCTTCTCCCTTTTCCCTCTCCCTTTTCCCTCTCCCTTTTCCCTCTCCCTTTTCCCTCTCTGTTTTCCATGTTTACATCCTCTCTAAGACCTCATCGTTGCTCACACGCTCGGTCCATGATATCCAGAGCATCCTTCTGTAGAACCATACCTTCCTTGCGTTGAATCCGCTAGGTATGTCATGCATTGCTTTCCTTTGTCTCTCTTTCTCTCTATTCAACCTGTGAGTATGAGATTCTCCAGGCCCCCCTTTCTCTTTGCGCGTTCCAGAAATTTCAGCTGCTTCTTCCTGATGTTAAATATAATCTTCCTCCTTGTTTGCATCCTCTCCAAAACCTCATAGTTTCTCACATGCTCAATCCATAGTATTGTTAGCATCCTTCTGTAGAATTATACCTGCGTTGCCTCGAGTCTCTTCTTCATCTTTGAGGAGACCGTCCAACATTCACTGCCGTATAGGTGAACAGATGTCACTAGAGGTGGTGTCTCCATAAATCAACGTAGAGAAGGCAACGGGAAACCTCCCTACTATCAATCCCAATCTATGTTATGCTACATTATGGGCGTTCACGGCGAAACCTATTTACAGGGTGTTGCAGCAAAATCCGACACTTGACAAAAAGAAAACGAAATAGCCAATAAAAACAAAAGTTGTAGATGCAGAGACCCGACAGTTTATTTAGCAACAGTTAGAGTTACATACTACATTATTTTTCAATGTAACCGCCGGCGGCTTCGACGACCATCTCAAGGCGGGCGCGAAATGAGTCACACACATTGGTGACCATGTCATTGTCCATAGCGGCAAACGCCTGCATGATGGCAGCCTTCAGAAAGTCGACCGTGTTGTTGGTCTTTGCATCGATCACACCACAGAAGAAATAGTCAAGGTGGGTTGCAGTCGGGTGAGGAGGGCGGCCACAAGTCCGGCGACCAGTGGTGAGGAACATTGTTGAGTAGCCACGCCTGGGTCGTCTTGGCCCTGTGTGCAGGAGCAGAGTCCTGCTGGAAGACGGAGGAGCGTCTGGTGGCGATCTCGTCCATCCAGGGCTTCACCACGCTTCTCAGCACCTCCTGGTAGATCTCAGCGGTGATTCTCAGGCCGTTTTGAAAGAGGAACAGAGGCATGACGTCCCCCTCGCTGGAGATGACGCCAACGACCATGATAGAAGAGGGAAATTTCGTATGCTTCATGACGGGAACCTCTTCGATGTCATTGCAGATCCACCTGTCGTTCTGCCTGTTGCTCGTCTGATCCTGAAGAAGAACCTCAGCATCCCGGCGGACCCATGCTTGAGTTCGTTCAGTTAAGCCGCCACCTTGACCTTCCTTAACACCTTGGAGGCATTCGTGATAAGCATGCGGTAAGACTTACGGTAGGAGGAGTAACCAATGTCCTTCTTGATCGTTCGGCAGATCGTCGACTTGTGACTGTCAATGTCAGCGGCGATCTTGACTTAGCTCTGGTTTCAATCATTGTCGAATGTCGTCTTGATGGCAACAACGAACTCGTCGGTCCTAACGGCCGAAGAACGAACGTTGTGGGCCTTCCGTTTGGCAGTAAACACGTCCTTGTTCTCAGACGCCTTCCACTTCCTCCAAATATCCATGGCAATGGTCCACTTGAACCCAAACCAGGCCATCACTTCCGCAAACTTCTTCGCGATGCGAAAAGAAGCTACTACCGCTGCTCTGCGCTCATATTCCATCCTGGAAAAGGGTAGACAGAAAAACGTTAGTTAGTTGTCAAACTGTCGGGTATCTGCATATAAAACTTTTGCTTTTATTGCCTATTTCGTTTTCTTTTTAAGTGTAGGATTTTGATTCAACACCCTGTACTAGGGTAAATACACATTGTGGTTTGAAAATTTCTCCGATTTAACCAGTAGAGAAGACAATATTTATGAATATAACAAAAACTTACACACAGATATATTCATAAATATTGTGGTATATAACACATTCTCTACAATTTCATATAGTGCATAATTGCACTAAAACATTCACTAAAGCTAGATGCAAAGGAGAAGCAAGAAAATCTACTGAGGCTTCGTTAACTTCCTTGCAAATTTATGGTATGTATTTGCTAGAACAGGATTGATTTATTGCATTTGGAATTGAATAGAGTTCTTTGAAATTGTCCTGCTCTCATTAACCCTTTGCGTCCTGCGTTCCTGAACAATTTTAACCCTTCTGTCCGAGCTCCTGAGTCAAAATTCGCAAATAATTGGTATGTAATGTTTCAAGGTAGTCACGAAAATAGTTACAAGTATTTACCAACCGTTCAAACGGTGGTTGGACATTAAGTCAATTTCCTCTACCTCTGTTTAACCGGTGACTGAGCAATACGTCATTTTCCTCCACCACCGGTAAAGCGGTGGTTAGGGCTCAAAGTATTAAATGCTGATAATGTATTAACGTATAATTTGACACCGCCGTTATTCAAAAGCGTGGAACTCAGCTTCTGTTTGCACCCCCCTCTCAGCTTTGATTCAATTTTTCTCTGCCTATTTATATAAAAAAAGCGATTGCACATCGGCTCGTTTCATTGTTTTCTTAGTTTGTAAGCAGCTCCCTTTTCCATTAATCAAAATACATTTTCACATAGGCTCGTTAAACTTTACCTTAGGCTTTTCTTAAGCCCGAAGCCAATCCCTTTTTCGATTGGTCAAAATAAATTTTCGCGAGTTTGAAAACAGTAGAGAAAAGAGATTTCTTTTTATTTCGTATTCACCACAGTTCGGAATTCGTGATGCCATTTACGGCTGCGTGCTGACCTCTACCTTTTAGCCTATTTTCAATACGTGAATCGACGGCATAATTGGGTTTGAAGGGATGGTAAAAAATATCTTTCTAAGAGCAAGTCATAGAATGTTTTGAAGAGCCATTATTCTGAAAGGAAACAGCAAATCGGAAAAAGAATAGTTCTATGAGGCCTTTACATGGAAAACATTAAGAATTTATTGACCCAACAGCCAGTGCAACTTTCGGTTTAAATTTATAAAATCTTTATATTAAGACGACGTTTGCTCAAACCCAATAACTGTTAACGCTCTTTCTAGTACTGATGGAAGTTTCCACCCTAACCTTTTGCTTGAGGTTGTGTGGAAAGTCAACAACTTGATTATGTCATTATTTTTTCTTCGAGTTACACGCGCTAGCACTTCCGGTTCTACGTTCTGTTATTTGGTACTTTTTGTTTATGATTCTTCAGCGCCAATCGATGAGGTGTGAAGAAGGATGGTCCTCTGTAAGACCTATAGGGTTCGTTGGTTTTCTGCAGTTGACACTGGTTGGGCGCCATACATAAATGGAGAAACATTGCGTATTGAAACCATTAATATACTAATCTAATCTAATTAATTTTAATCTAATTAAAACGGTTACTGGCGGTGAAAAAGAATGATAAAAATCACGTGAGGAGAAAGCTCAATAAAAAAAAAAAAACAAGATCCTAATTGCCAACTTATCAATACACTTAAATTCACGCGGTCGAGGCAAAGAGATGAAAAATTTGCCATAACAACTGACATGAAGATATTTGTATAAAAAAGGCAGAGGGAAGCCACAGGGATGTGGGAAAGTGACTGAATTTGAGATACGAGGCCAGGATGGAATAAATTCCAGGTCATTCTTTGAATTTTATCAAGAATATCTGGATATATAGTAAGAGCAAAAAAAATGGACATGGCAGAAATATTCAAAGCACGACCGAATGGTAGATTTATAAATATGCAAGATGAAGATATACTAAACATTCTGATTTTCCACACTAATATAATAAAAAGGTTAGGAAGAAAACCCCATCTATAGTAGAATGAACAATAACAGAAGATGTGAGATGCTTAATTTCCTAAAAATTAAACTGTTTTAGGAACAAGATTTTATACATTTTAATCGGGCATAATACGAAGTATTTGAGTTTGATAAAATGGATGCCCAAATGAGGAAGTACAATAAAAGAAGAGAAATTAAGAAGACAGAAGATAACGATTGATATTGCATTTAAATTTTTGAAGATCAAACTTGACTGGAAAGCAAGAAGCCGGAAGAGAGTTTCAGAAGAAAGAAGTGCGAAAAAAAAAACTGTTAGAATTGATCATATGGCCAAAATCCTGTTTTTATTTTTTATTTTTTTATCATTCCGCCCCAAGCAAGGCAAAAAAGCCACTAAGACCCAACGTGTTTCGGATCACGAAATCATATGAGAAAAAGAAATCGCTATTTAGGAGAGAGAACAATAAAAGAACAAGAATCAACAAGACAGAAGATAACGATTGATATTGAATTTTAATTTTTGAAGATCAAAGTTGACTTTTTGATAAAGTGGATGTCCAAAGTTTCCTAGATGGAAAAGGTTAATTTTATAATCGCCTTAAGGATAACTTTGTGTATTTCTTCTCTCTAAAGAAAGTCCGAAATATTATCTAAACACATTCTGGCACAATCCCACCCAAAACGGTTAAAATGCAAGATTCGAATTCTGCCTAGTCAGTCATGTATCGAAAGATACATGATCACCTAAGCGTGCATCACGCATGGCACCTAACTGGCTGACATAATTTGCCTTGTTGCGGTTGTTGTGCTCATCTTTATTTTCATTTTGACGACGTTTCGGCATTTATACGCTTCGGTCTTCTACAACATCTGTCTATATCTCTGAGATGAGGTATTGTAACTATTTACATTGGTAGGACTGGTGTTCTCATCTTTATTGTCATATTCACGATGTTTCAGCATTTGTACGCTTCGACCTTCCTCAATATCTGTCTATATTTCTGGCATGAGATATTGAACTAATTTACACTCTTTCCATTGTTTGGACTCTTATCTTCATATTTAATGTCATATTCACGACGTTTCAGCCGTTGTACACTCTGGCCTTCTTCAGGTGATATATGTTGGAATTTTAAACCGTATTTCGTTCAGTTGGGTAGATTGTTCTTGTTTCACATCCAATGCCTTTTTCTAGATGTCTCAGTTTCCCTCTAGAAACTCAACTCTCTAAGTTTTTGTTCACCTCTGCTGTGGACAGGTATTGAACTCACAAATGGATTACTTCGACGAACGCTTTTATCCACGATGCCATTACATCACGTCGAAGTGTTCCAGTAGCTATAAATCTAGGATAGTAAACTCCGGGAAAATAGCATAGGTTTCACTCGAATTGCTTCTTCCCGCGACACGACTGCTCTGTGGAACAGACTCCCAAGAGGATGCTTTCCCGATCACTGCAATCTTAAGCTGTTCAAGCCTAAAGATTACCATTATCTTCCACTCCAATTTATATAGTTTATTCTTTAACGCAATGGTTACAAACCTTTTTTTTTCTGGGCCTCATATTCGGAATGAATATTTCACCGCATCTTACCGAATTTTATATGATAAAAAGTACATTTTAAAATAATAAAAAAAGGATACTAATATTGCGTTCAATATATTTTATAACAGAAATCAACTATGATATGACGAAAGCGCACAAATTTAATGAAAAGCATGAGACCTTTGACGAAATAAACTTCTTTATATTAGACCTAATTTGAGATAAACAAACGCCGATCTCTTCATCAGCGGAGATAAGTCTTTCCCTATTTGTTTTTTTTTTTTTGTTTTTTTTTTATATTTATCATATTTTAAAATTCAGAACTGAGAAGGCGCAAGCAGTCCTACAAAAAAAGAAGCTTCAGAAAAAGTGTTAAAGGGAGATAATCGCAGATTCGAAGTCAGGACATTATCATTGATAACTCTCTCCTCTAATTTCGGACCCTAGTTACTCTATTCTTAATACTTGAAATAATATAAAAATATCCCAATGACAAAAGCGGTCAAAAATTATCTATAGCTATTTATACTAGGACTGATGCATGCAATTATAAGTAATTCATAATAATATTTTAAATTTTAAAATCATATTTATTTTTGGTATATTAATTTTTTTTGAAAATGTTGCTAGATCTTTGATTGCCTTTCAATCATTCCGCCTCACCTGCTATCTTCTGCCGCAACGATGAGGCAGGACGCACTGTTTGGGAAACCACTAATCTTTTAATTAATTTTTATTAAATCTGTTTGTAAATCTTTGATTATCTTTCAATCATTCCGCCTCACCTGCTATCCTCTTCCGTCACACCTCTGAGGCGCCCCACAACGTTTGATAACCACTGTGAAGGACGCTTACAGATAAAGAGGTAAGCAGTACAGGTTATGGGGATGTGTGGGTAAGTTAACAGTTACCTCCGGATTTGAATAACTTAGGATCGTAGTGATCGGTGAAACGTCAATTTGGGACCTAGTTTCATAAAGTGGCAATTTTCTACAAAAGGCTAGAATGATTGCCTTGTATATCTATCAAAGTTCCATTCCTGTTTGTAATTAAAGTGTGATTAATGTCACTGACTGCAGAATGTTTGATTAGTTTAGACCTTTATTTCTCCTTTTTTTATATTACGTTGAGTCATAAGTAATTTTATGTGTTAAAAAGTACATTTTAAAAAAAAGAAAAAAAAAACAACGTGAGTGTTAAAGATGGCTAACCGCGGATACAAAGTCAGATTATTATCATTAATAACTCTCTCCTCCAATTTGCAGACCCTAGTTACTATATTCTTAATACTTGATATAGTGCAAAAAAATATCCCAATGATAAAATCGGGCATTAATTATTTATAGCTATTTATACTAGGACTGATGCATGTAATTATAAGTAATTCATAATAATATTTTA